GTCCATGAGAGAGTTTTATTTAGTGTTAATGCTCCACTCGAATCTCGGCATTTCTTTTTGGCTGCCACATAAGCCAAGGGTCTTATGGGATTCACAGCGGGTGTGTGTGCGAGTGTGTGTGTGTGTGAGAGTGTGTGTGTGTGTGTGTGAGTGTGTGTGTCTTTGTGTGTGTGAGTCAACGGCTCGTGCGAGGTTATGATCTCTTGCTGATTGGTTGCGCAACGAATTTTTTCCTTCCCATTCCCATTGCAGTTGATCAGCGCAAGCGAGTTTAACCCAAACTTTATTCTGACAAGTACGTAAAAAAAATAAAATAAAACAAAAAAAAGAGAAAAAACAGAAGAAAAAAATGCGAACACCTGAAGGCCAAAGGCGTTGCTCGAAAGTTTCAGCAACGCGGGAAACTTCGCTGTCGAACAATAATAATTCAGAAAATAGCCCAAAGGAGCTGCAAAAAACCAAAAACAACAATTGGAATTAGTAACTGATAGATACGTGACTTATAGATACCCTGTAGAACTTGATAAGCTGAAAAATGTGCTCCGCCCAGTAGACAGTGTGTCAATACTGGGAAATAAAATTAGGAGATATATGGAATATATTAAACGAAGATATATAAATAAATATATTAATAGAAGATATGGCTGACTGACGATATGCGGTAAATGTATTACCCAGGAAAATATTTTTGTATGCATCTTTTGTGAAAGAAAATGTGGAGCAAATTAATAAGAGATAAGGCTAGATCGATTCAGATATAGAAGCTGTATATATCTAAGGACTATAGCAAATCCTGCTAGAATATTCGTGTGTCTGCTTTCCACAATTCGAAATATGTGCAGGGCAAGTTGAACAAATGAATAAAGCAAACAATTAGATCGATTCGTATAAAAACAAACAAGATCGAATACCGTTTTTCAGTAGTTCGTCGTAACTTTATTTATTCCTAGTAGAAATACCATGAAATTTGTACTCCTGGTATTGCCTTCATATACAACTAATTACGCTTTACACCAACCTGTTCGTTCCATTTGTACATCTTATAATGCCTTTTCTAATGTATTCTCGGTGGAAATCTCTCTTACCAGAATTAAATTTGAAATTCTAAAATATCTCTGGGATGCATCTTTACTGCGGTAAATTTATCTTCAGAGATCTGCTATATTTTCTATATTTTCTCTAACATTCTTTATCTATACCTTCTTAACTTTCAACTTTCCTTATAAAGCTACTAATGTTTTATAATTTAATCTTGCAATGAATGTTGCACCATTTGACATATTGTTACCTCTAGCTTAATTTAAGTTTTTTTGTTTGTTAATTTCGAACTTAAATTTAATTATTAACTTTTAATTTGTAACTTTAATTTTAATTTACTAATAAACAAATAAATAAAACAAGCTAAAATAAATAAGAGCTGATTAACTGTGTATCTCTTACCCTTCTGCTCATTGTCTACAGTTACAGGGTATATTAGCAGCAGCAACACTTTCGGAAGCGACCATAACGAGGGGCCAACAATATCAGACTCGTAGCTGTGCCGGCTATAATGACGTCAAACTTGGCAGCACTTTTACTCATATTGTTGCCGTTATCCAAGCAGCCCGTTAGCTCAACTTGCCCTTGTTACCTGTTCTCAGCGCCACTATGAGTATGATAATGATAATGATGATAATGGACGAGCGTGGACCGCTAGCTTCTTGATGACTTGCAGCTACTCCAAGCGCGCTAATCTTAATTACTTTTGTTTAATTACTTTGACGTTTTGCCCCAGCCCACGACTCAGACCACGCCCACGCCCCCGCTCCCGCCTCAGCATAAGCCATCTGACCTCCTCGGAGTTGAGGGGCGCCTGGAGCTATGCAACGGCTTTTCTTCTTTTAAAATAAATAATGTTTACTTATTATTTTGAGGGGCGCAAAGTTTACGCAGTTAACAAAAGCTTTGTGTACCTTTTTTTTCCATCGCTGTGGAAAAACCGAAACCGTTACACAAATAAAGGCCGCATGCTTTTAGGCGCTTTCCAGCTCCGGCTACGGCTACGGCACACATTTTATTTTTGTAAACTAATTTAGTGATTAAAATCTGCGAAGCAGCTGCTTCCGCCGCCGTGCACCTCAAACGCCAGAGGCTGCCTCATATTCCCTATCAACCCCCACTCCCTCACTCTATCCTTACGCAGCGGCCATCCAGGCCAATTAACATAATAATGTTGATTTTTATTGCTTGCCAAAAAGTTTTGTCATTGACTCGGCCAATGCCTAATTAGGGCGTGAACCAACTTGACTTTCTAGCCTCTATGCAAATCAATTTCTGTCCGTTTAAAGTGCTGTCTGCTGCCGAATGTTGCCTTTCCGATAAAGTCTGGCCTTCGACTATTCAACTTTATGTGGGCCATCAAATTGTTTGATTGCTCACTCAAAGCTCCTCAAAGTGTGCACTAAAATTGCAACAATCTCAAATTTGAGTGCCACAAATTATTTTATTGAAACCAATGAAAATCAAAAGCCACAAGCTTAGACACACATTCCGGACATTAATTGCGGAACAACTTAACAGGACATTCTGAGCGCATTGCGACATTGAAATGCTCTGCGGCAAAACTTAAAAGGACATTCTGAGTGAATTGTGACTTTGAAATGGTCTGCTTGAGACGCTGGGAATAATTTGACGTACTTTGAGGGCAATCAACTATAAGTAAGTTAATGTAAGAGTTGAAAATTAATCGCACTTCCATTTCTTAACCAACCTTCTTAACTTTAGAAGGTATGTTTCTAAAAGATTGTATCTATCTGAAATAAAGTGTTTTACTTTGCACTTTTTTCTGAGTGTATTATTGGAATTGAAATACAAATTAAATTTAAAAAATTATTGAGTAATTTGCTTAAATAATTTAAATTAAATGAGGTCCTAGAGTAACTACTTAAATTTATATTAAAAACATATAATTAAGAAAATGTTAAAAATGTAATTCTCTAAGTTTCTATTTTGGTAACCAAATATTAATTCAGTTTATCATTTCCATCCCTCAGATTATATCTGACTTTTTGCAAATCGTGCTAAGAATTTTGAAGAAAGAAACTCAAACAGCAGCAGGGATAACTTAAATTCATGGTATGAATAAATAAATAAATAAATAAAAAATAAACTATTAAGAAATAATGTCAGTTTGAATATGCAACTCAGCCCTCGTTTTGGCAACCACCTATTTTATCAACTTGTTAGCAAAAAATAATTATTAATTGTATTATTAATACATGTTTTATATGAATAACCAACATGCTTCTTAGGGGTCAACTGCAAGTTCATATTTTAAATTTTGTTTGCTGTTTCCCTGCTGATGACAGACGCTACTCAATCCATCACATACCTCACTTTAAGCACATTCTATTTGATTTCATGGGCAAAGCCACAAAAACAGGCACACAAACTACTCGTAATTTGAAGCGCTCTGAAAAGTATGCTATAAATGTTAAGGCCAAGCAATTGCGGCCTCCCACAAGCTGGCTTATAAGGTGGTTAAAAGCAAAGCGACAGCTCCAAGTAAAAGTCGAGATGTTGCAGAAGGTAGTTGAGTGCGTAGGTGAGTATGTGTGTGTGTGTGTGTATATATATATATATATGTGTGTGAGTGCTTGCGTGTGTATGACAGTCAGTGAAGCGTGAAACTGAGCCCAGACAGATTGGACTGAAGCAGTTTCAAAGGTGTTGAAGCAATGTGCGATTATGTATGTATTTGTGCGTGTGTATGTCTGAGTGTGATTGTGTCTAACACTTTATAAGATTTTCCACAATGATAATGCTTAAACGGACAAAGACCCAAGTAAAGCGTAGACAACGATTTTCAACACTCTTTTGCATTTGTTTAATACGCATTTTCATTTTATATTATTTTTAAAACTTTGGTGCTAAGTGTGGAACGCATTGCAAAAGACAACTTCAGTTTGAAACCCTCTTCAGGAGTATTGAAATAATAAGTTCAATAATATATGTATTTTTTGGAACATTTGGTATAATTTAAGATTATTGTTATTTAATTATTAATTATATGTTCTTTTAAGATTATAGAATTGATATTAAGAATATTGGATTGGGTAGTTTAATGAAATAAAATATTTGTATTAATTCAGGATTGCAATTAAATCATAGACAATAATCAAAAACAATCAGAAGAAGACATTTCCCACCCCAATATATTGTGTACTTTGTTGATCTAAGTAGTCAATTCTTATTATAAAATTGTTAATGTAGACTGACGGATAACGGGATATTCTGCTGCTTGATTATATTTACATTTTAATGATATATCTAAAATAATATGGAAAACAAATATTATTGGTTACACATATTGCACATATTTTCTTTTTTATTTATTTTGCTATGTTAGAAATTTTACAAATTTTAACGGAAGTATTTTGTTCATTTAAGTTAAGATATTAGATTTTACTTAATTTAATTTATTTATTACTATTTTTATTAAGGTTCAACATTGAGGTGTCTCTGCTCAATTGTGGCAGGTTCCAAAATATGATTTTAATTATTGCATTCAGTTTTTGTTGAATATTATTTAGTTAGATTGTGGGGAAAGGCCTCAAATAGCAATGCCATAAGTGCATAAAAGGTAGGAATTTGACAAAAAATCTTAACTTTTTCTTTTATAATTAAGATTTGTTTGACTTGCCAAGAATCAGCAGATGAGTGCTTAATTTGGTGATAATTAACTTGAGCTGGTTCCATCTAAAGTACGCAAGTTAAGCCATCTCACAAAATATTTTAATTCTTTTACTAATTAAAAAATATCGACTCTTAAAAGTCACTTTAAAAAGGGGCAGCTTGGAGCAGGCGCTTGCTGCTCGAACATATATTTTTGAAATGATTTTGAAACTAAGCCAAATTCCAAAAGAAAAATAAAAAAAGGCACCAAAAAAGACGAGCGCAACGCAAAGAGTGAGGAATATTCAATTTGCACGATAGTCTTCCGCTTCAGCTCGCCGTCAGAGATGGTTTCCCCGCCCTCGATAGTGGCCGCAACGCTGCTGCAGATCTGCGGCGTCTCGCTGTTCATCCGGCAGCCGGCGGAGACGCCATGCTCGCCAGCTCCCTGCCAGGCGAAGTGGCTGTTCGGGCTCAGCCTGGTGCTGCTGCTCTGGAGATGTGAGCTGTTGCCCAAACGCTATGCGAGCGTCTATCCACGCATCCACACATGCGTGGAGCTGCTGGGCAGCGTCTTCGTCTCGGAGCTGGCCATGCTGATCGGCTGGTGCAGCTACGAGCGACTAGTCCACCAGCTGAGCCATCTGATCTGCCTGAACCTGAACCTGAACTGTCGCTGGTGCGAGTACTTCACGCTGGGCATGCTCACGCTGCTGCCCTCGGGTCTGCTGCTGTTCACCCTGGCGCCGGCCCAGTGGCGTGAGTTTCTGGTGCAGCTGCTGTGGCAGCTGCCCCGACCGGAGGCGGACGAGTGCCTGCTGTCGTGTGCCCGTGAACTGTCCAACTATGCCCGCGGACTGCTCTGCTTCTGTCAGCTGAGGCGCGAGGATCGGCTGCGTGCCCTGCGCCTCTTCCAGTTGCAGGCGGAGCGAAGCAGTCGGCACGAGGAGCGACAGCCATAAATGGAGTCAAAGTCGGAGTCGAAGTCGTAAATTGTTTATTATGCACACAAATTTATGCCAACATCTGTTGTTGTTAGTATCCTGGTGCCCACCACAATTCACAGTGTTTCCTTTGGCTTCACGGGGGGCGGGGTGCGGGGTAGGTTTTTTTTTTGTTGTTTTCACTTTGCTCTGCTCCGCTGCTTTTTTTTTTGTGTTGCCAACTTTGCTGTTTGTTTTTAATTTTTTGCTCGAGCTGCTGCTCCTTCTCCCTCTCTCTTTGTCTTTTATCTTGCCTCTGTTCTCCGTTGGCCATTTTAATTTTCGTTGGCTGTCGTCGCCATGTTAGCCGCAATTGATTTGCCGTAAATTGTATTTTTAATCTGCGACAGGCGTTTCACATTGTTACCTTTAATTCGCATGTTGTTGTTCTGCCTTTACTATTCTATTTATCATTCTATTTGTATTTGTTGTCGTTTATTTTTCCTTCCGATTGTGGTCTTAATGAGTGTGCCAGCATGTTATTTATTCATTAGCCCACACACTGCATCAAGATAAGAACACTGAACAACATTGGAGCAATTGCCAAAACGATTTCGACCCAATTTCCACAATTTCGCTAAAGCAGTTAATAATAAACGTTGTTAATAACTATGCAAGTTACTGGAAGTTACCGAAGAAAATTACTAAATCTAAAGTTTAAAAAAATACAAATTTTAAGTGATAAATAATTTAATTATAATTTTAAGAACCTATCGCTATTTTCTTTAAAACATATTTGATATACTGTTAAGAAATGTATGATTTTTTCACCAATAGTCATGTGTTGAATAGCCCGAAATGTTGTGTATTATTTAAAAGCTTTAAAAAATAGAATATATCTCAATTTTAGTGAATATATTTAGACATCAAACAGCTTCTGAGCGTTTTTAAATATATATTTATATCCAGAAATTTTAAATATATTTTTTTTTCTTTAGCTTAAAACCAAAAGCATAAATATTAAATAATATTTATAATTTAATTGCTTATTGTTTGGTGACATCTTTTTATAATTTAAATATGTGTTTCGGTGGTTTCAGTCCAGCTTTTTATTTATTATTTATTCTGAAAATATATAATATATATATAAACCTCAAATTTAATTTATTTTAAACTTTTTATATATATTTTTTTTGTGTGCACTTATCTTAGTTGACATTAAATAAATTAAAATCTTTTTTAAATGCAATAAAAAGCTCTTAGCTCCCTGTGCTAGCTAAAATGCACTAATGTATTTCGTCAAAGCGAATTAAATGTAATATTTTTATTAATCCTCTCCTTTTGAAACTTAAATTAAGTTTGAATGAAAATATTCAACATATTTCGCTGCAAAAACTAAGCGAAAACGAATCGTAGCCCACGCAACTGTGCAATAAGAAAACATATCTGTATTTATTTTGTAGGTTTAAAAGAGATCAATTTAATTGCAAATTGAGAGCCAACAGACATCAAAAGGCAACCCTCAAAAAACAATGCAGAACAACATTATTTTTAGGTGATGGCAAACAAAAATGATTGACAGTTGCCCAAATCGCATTAATGTCACTCATACGCCGCGTGTGCCAGTTTCCATTTTGCTTTTTCTGTTTTGCTGCTGCTGCTGCTGCTGCTGCTGCTGCTGCTTGTTGTTGAGTAATTGAATTTGTGTTTGTGTTGATTTGATGTAACCTGCTCAAAGTCAATGTGGAAACAGTACATTTAATATATCAGCTATGCCCAAGCACACATGGCCAACAAATGCTATTCCCCTACCCGCTCCCCCCCGCAAAACAAACCCAACAGTCACGATCTGAGGGGGGGCCACTTAAATGGGAGGGGAGCTCGGCATTCCATCAGATACTGTGTGTTTTTTTGTTTCAAGACATTTGTTTCAATGTTTGTCGTTTCTTTTGCTGGCAATTTGATTAACTACAAACTGCATACAGATCTCCTCATCTAGGCAACATGGCGTATGCTTTATGTAAAATAATCCTAACTCCACTTGCCTCAAGGAGTCGAGTATTGTGAGTCGCACAATATATATTCTTACTGCTGTTGTTGTTCTTCAAATAAAATTCATTCTTGTGCACGGTTGAAATTTGAGACAAAGCTAATTCGGTTTGCGTATAACTCGGAATGTTCAAAGCAAAAGGATAAATGTAATTGGAAAAATAATGACGGAAAGTTAAGGTGCGAAGAAAATAACAATTATTATTTGAAGGAAAGAAATAAATTATCTATAAGGAATAGTTGAATTAACAGCTTGTCTCTTTCGAAGCAGGTAAAAACACCTTACTTGCAGAAGCTGTTGCAAATTAAACTAAGCTCAGAAAACTCTAGAAATATTTTATGATTTTTAGAAATATACTTTCTAAAATTCTAGGAGATTTCTTATCTGAGTATACTGTACTGTATATATATATAAATTAGCTTAAAGCAAACAGTTCTGATTTTTTGTTAACAATAGAACAAACAAATGAAAGTATTGCAGTACTATGTTTAAATATAAATAAATAATAATATATTATAAGTAACTATTATACAATATATGTGCTCTGAAACAAAAGCTAGTCAGATGTCATTTATAAAGGCGACCAAATTACTCTAAACTAGTTGGGAACGTTTATCAAATGCATATCAATAATAATTAAAACCTAATAACAATAATATCAAGATTACAATTAAAAACTGACTGCACGTAACTGGCTCATCCAGTGGAATGGCGGACAATGCTGTAGTGGCACTTATGGAATGATTTAACATTCAGCTATTTTCCTCTTAACTTTTGGTCTTTGCCACATTCTGTAAGCAGCAGATATCCATCAACTTGTTATTGTTTTGCTTATTTGAGATATTTCGCCTGCTCCATTGTTGTTGCCGTTGTTGTTGCTGTTGCTGTTGCTGTTGCTGTGGCTACTTGAGCTGCTTTTCTTTTATTGAAGATTTGTATCAGAATGTCAACAGCAACCTATGTCAACAACAACAACAAGAGCAACTCGCACAGCAGCAAGGAAATGCGAGCAGAATGGCAAAGGAGCTGCTCTCTTGCTTTTTCATGTGGATTGTGCAGTTGTCTCAAGTCTCGTTTGTTTTTCTTTTCGGCAACTCTGCAAATAAAATGTTTGCTTAAAAAATTGCAGACATACTTGATATTGTTGAAATGTGCATTTCCGTTGCTGTTGCATTTCCTGTTCGGCTGCTTCGGATCTGCGGGTGTTTTGTTACCAAGAATTTACTGCAGTCACGACTACGCCCTGACACAAATACATTACAAAATGTGCATCCCGATAGGGGAAGGGAGAGGGGAACAAACGCATATTTCTTTTACCCCTGACAGTAGCCCAGTGAACTAATACACTGAGAGTTGCCATTGCGAATAATTAAAATCTCTGATGTTATATACCTAAGTAGGTATATTTATATATCAGATATTTTAATACCTTACTTATACTGCAGCAGTTCTTAATATCGAGAAGAAAAAGTGCCAGCTATGCCTTTGACTCTAATTGTCTGACGATATGAATGGTAATATTGCAATTGTATGTGGTTATCAAGAATATATATACATATTATATAGTCAGATAGTATTATATATATATTATACACTATTATTTGCCTAGAGGTATGGCTTACAATTTACAATTCAAATTTGTCAAACTGAATGTCAACTTATGGAAAAAAGTGTTGCATAAAATGTCGCGCTTCATTCAACGTGTGGCTTAAAATAATTCCCAAATGGTTCTAGCTTCGAGACTATATTACGGCTCTTGTTGATTGATTGATTGATTGAAATTTTTTCTGCCTATATTGCCCTCATCTCAATCTCGTCTCATACAATGCGTAGATGAGATGATGCAGATTGTATATAACAAGTTGTTTATAACAAGTATTTCTCAAATTTTTGAGATGTGCTACCGGGTCAGCACCACTGATACTCCCAATAAATAAAATAAATACCACTAAAGTTTGCAGGGATCATAAGAGCATTAAGAGGCTGCCGGACGTAAAGTCAACGTGAACTCACTGAATCGAAAGATTTCCAGCAAAATCGACCCGATCTCGATGCGTCTTCGATCTTCATGTCGGAGATGGTCAAGCGGAAACTGAGCAGCGGCAACATGTCCTTAACCAGGTGGCCAGCCTCGAATGCGGCGACTATTCAAGAATTGCTTGGTAAGCAATAGTTGGAACTGATGACTGAAGGAAGCATCTGCCCATCCTGAGTATGGCCTGATGTGTGCAAGGAAGCGCGCTTTTATTCAGAGTTAACTTTCAAAAGTGTTTGTCAAAGTTATAAAGGACTTACTATAAGCTCTAATAGTAATATTATTATGATTAATATTTTATTATTTCCATCTAATTTAATTTAATAAAAATATTAATATGCTTATTATTATTTTATTTAGTTGATTCCACTGCAATAAATATGTCGCAACGGGCTGTGTCGACTGTTGTTTAATCCATTATTTGGCATGTATCCGGTTTTTGCTTTGCGGTCAAGCATATTTAACAGGACACAAGACAATAGAACACAACACAGGACAACAGGCTGGCCAACAACGGGACAACAGCAACCAGTAACCAAAGACAGCCGCATTCAAGGCACAACAAAAAGTTAAAGGAGTCCCCAGCAAAAAGTTGTTGGCCAATTTACTAAAAATGTCCAATGTGTGTGTGTCTGACTGTATGTGTGTGTGTGTGTGTGTTTAGCTCGTTTGCCGCTTTGTGTACTTTTTGTGTTTCGTATTGAATAACAAATTATTTGCGTCATATGTTTAGGGGCCTTAACACAACTTGCCGCCAACACCCAACAACAGCCACAACAACAACACTCGAATGAAGTCAAGCATAACGTTAATGGGCGAATCGTTAAATGGTTAGTTAACACTGGATAGTTTTCTTGAGGGCCGTCAGAAAGTTAAAGATCAAAGTTAACTGAATTGAGGAATAGTTAAATAGCCCAATTACCGTTGATATTGAGTATCTGAGCTGAGCTCTCG